AACAGTGACTTCAAGGAACGAATGGCCCAGTCCGCATATGGAGGATTGAACTTTTCAAAAGAAAAAGATGTACAAGATTATCTGTAAGGCTTCTGGCGGATTTGCTTGCTGGGGTAGAGTTTCGTTTGTTCTCTCAGCACGGATTTTAAAAAATTAGAACCATAAAGAGAGCGCCTCTTAAGGCCTTCGCATCGGAAATGTGTTTTATCTCTCTTGCTGAGCGGCAAAGGCTTTTTAAAAAAGAGTCTTAATACCTAATCATAATCTTATCCATTAATTATGAATAAGCCTTTGGATTGACTGGGGTCTTTCAGTGACACGCAATGAAAAGATTTGAGATGACTGAGGGAATTAGGCAGCGGGAAGCTCACAGAAGTGGGAGGAAGGGATGGTGAGTGTCAATTTGTCAGCTCCTGGTTGGGAAATACCTGGAGATTTTGGGGGTGGAGACTGAGGAGGGCAGGGTTTGGGGAGGGGAGGAACTTCAGTGGGGTATAATTCCATAAAGTCCACCTTCCAAAGCAGCCATTTTCTCCAGGTGAACTGATCTCTGTCACCTGGAGATCAGTTGTTAACCCAGCAGATCTCCAGCCAATGCCTGAAGGTTGGTGACCCTATTGCCACATGACCACAGCCTGAAGGCACTGGCTCAGGACTGTCACAGGTGCTTCTGGAGGCCTAGACAGTGATGTATAAATCTGATCCACATATTGGTGACAACCCACACTGGTGATCTCAGTCTTTTTCAGTATCATGAAAGCACGTTGGTGATAAAATGGATCTTTTGAGCACTGCACGCATCAGGTCCCAACTAGCTGATCCTGCCTCTCCTATGGATGCTCTTTGATTCCCGGCAACAAATCAAGTTAGGAACGTGCTCAGTAGTCGAACTTACCACAATCAATTGTCATGTTCAGACATGAGCCAATCATTCAGTCTGTTGGGTTCACGCTGAATGTATTGAATGCCTGCCAAATAGGTTTGCACTGTTTTTTTCTCAAAGCTGTACATTTGTGAAAACGCTCCCGATTCAAACAGATTGGCAGCCATTAATGTTGCTAAGAACTGCTTAGACAAACACTGAATGGTAAGATTCTTTTTAAAAATGCAGTGTTTATTTCGACCTGAGCCAAACCAACAGGTGTTCCAGAAAAAAATCCCTATTTTACATTATTCAAAACACATTGAATAGGTATTTTTCTCAGCGCCTTTAGCCTTCTTTGCTTATTAGCTTAATGCTCATTGGCTATCGGGACAATATTCCATCTAACCTGCTCTTTGAAGTATGGGTTCATTTCTAATCAATGTCACACTTCAAAACAGTAGCCTCCAATTATATGAAATTCCAGTACCAATTATATATCTCCTGCCTCTTTGGGGCATAAAAGAAACAGCTGGTGACATTTTGTGGAGATGGAAAATGAAGAACAAGAGATGGGTTTTGATGAAGACCCAGAAGAATACCTTGTTTTCTTCTTTTCTTGCTGGAGGGAGTTCCATGGCCTAAGGGGTACCTCCTTGGAAGAACTCTCTGGTCTTGGGTTCAAAGGCATACAAAAGGTTGAAAGGTTCATCATTCTAATGAATTTTACTGTCATGAAGTCAGAAGTGAGCTGGGGGGGGGGGTGTCTCTGCACCAACCCTATGCTAGATTTTTAGTATCATGAAAGACAGATTGAATTGGTTTACATGCAAGGAGCAGAATAGAGAGATGTCCACACTTGGCCTCTTGTTTCTTGGCTGATAAGTTGCCCCTTGCTTTAATATACCAGCTAGAGAATTTTCAGGGCACATGCAGCTTTGACTTGGAGTACATTTTAGGAACTCACATTATGGAACAGGGACAAGGTGATGAATATAATTCGTGCAGGAGTCTATTAGGAATGCATGGTGTTCTGGAAAATGGAATTTCAGCAAAGCAGTTATAATGCAATATACTTGACTGCCCCAGCTTTAGTGGGAGCGTGTTAATCCTAAAAATTTTACATTAATATTTTTCAGTATCAGGAAAGCAAGAATTTGTGAATGTGTATTCTAGGAGGAGGAATTGTAGAAAGATGGCTACCAGCTCATCAGATCTAGGGTGAGTGTTAGTCATGTTTGGGTTGCAGGTACTTCAAGACTGGGCACACATGGGGGCATGAGTTTGAGGGCAAGAGGCAAAGAGGTCTTGGCCCTTGGCTCTTAGGGAATGACTCTCAACCCATGGCCTGATGCTAACCCAGGAAACAATTTATTTAAATTGTATTAGTATTTTTTGTAAGCAGGATAAAAATATACTAAATAAATAACTGAATACATCGCAATGGTCCAGACACATGATGTGGTACAGTGATGGGACAGTTGGGTTTGCTGGACTCGGATTCAAATCCCACCTTATTCACAGAATCATTGGGTTGGATCTGTGTATTGTTCTGCTAGACAGAGGCTTTCTTCCAATGGAAAGAAAAGCAGAGCCTTTTGCATCAAGGTAAGCAAGAAATTGCAAGTAGATAAATAGGTACCACTTCGGTGGGAAGGTAACAGCGTTCCGTGCGCCTTGGTGTGTAGTCATGCCGGCCACATGACCATGGAAACGTCTTCGGACAGCGCTGGCTCTTTGGCTTTGAAACAGAGATGAGCACCACAACCCTAGAGTCGGACTCAACTGGCTTTCGAGCAAGGGAACCTTTACCTTTTTAAGCACCTCTGCCAGAGGATATTGTGTCCACTAGTAGAGAGAATCCATGGGATCCAACTCATCAGGTGGTTCTGTATAAGTTGCTTACCTAAGCTCTTCAAACAGTGACCTAGCCCCAACACAGAGTGTTGCGAAGGCAAATAAAGAATGAAAAATTCTTATGTTACTGTTGTTAGTTCAATGTGGAGTTACCATGAATGGTTTCAGTGGTTGCGACTTAAGTGGGGGATGGATCACAGGCTTCTAGTAACTTCTTTTTTTATTATCCCCCCCCCTTCCTTGGGGGAGCTTAAGGGAGTCTTAATTATTCTCTCTTCTATTTTATCCTCATAACAACTTTGTGAGGTAGGTTAGCTAGGACTGCAGCAGGTGGAGACCTACCTGATCGGCATTATACCAGTGCCACAAGGTCACTTCAGCACAAACCGGAAGTGGTGCCATTGCATCAGCACAGTGCTCTAGAATTCACCCAAAATTCTATGGCTTAATGATAGAGCTCTGGGTAAACCCTAGAGTATTGTGCCAACTCGATGGTATCAATGGATCAGCATGAGACTAAATTGTCCTTCTGCATTTTTGTGGGGTTGCCAACCTCCAGGTGGTAGAACACCAAAAACAACATCCATGACAAAAATAATGAAGAGTCAATAACGATAAGTTGCAAAAACGTTTACTGTAGTGATTCTGTAGAAAATGTTCTTCTATAATCGCTCACACGCATTTTCTTCTGTAATCGCGCTCTCATTCTTTGGCGTCAACCTCCAGGTGGTGACTGGAGATCCCCCCACTATTACAATTTATCTCCAGGCAACAGAAATCAGTTCACTTGGAGAAAATGGCCGCTTTGGAAAGTGGACTCTGTGGTGTTATATCCCATTGAAGTCCCTCCCTTCCCCAAAACTTGTCCTCCTCAGGCTCCACCCCAAAAATCTCCAGCTATTTCTCCACCCAGAGCTGGCAGCCCTAATTTTTCCTCTTCCATCCTGTCAAGAAGCAGTGGGGAACAGGACTGCAGAGCCGGTGGTATGGCCACCCTAAGTTAGACTGGCAGAGAAGAGACTGCCCCAAAGACACCCAGTGGCCATGACCCTAACTTGAGTTAGTTGAAACTGAAGGCCTAACAATAAATTACACATCACAAAGCCCACTAGGTGTCCTCTGCTGCCAAACAGTTGGCCAGTGATGGAGACTTACTGGCAGCAGGTTTGGGGCAGAAACTCAATGGTAAAAATGGCTTCTACCATAGAGTTTTTGCCCAAATACCAGAGTGTCACACGTTCCTAGCAATACAATGACATTGCTTCTGGTTTGTGCTTAAAGTAACCCCACTGTGTTCCTGTTGACCTTGCAGCAACATCATACTAGGTTTCCCCCACTGCTGGTATGCCCCCCCCCCGACCCCACTGGTTGGCAGGGGGGACCTGGCAACCCAAATGTGTGCTGGAGGTTCCATGGACCCAGAAACATTGTAATGTGTATTTAAGGCCCACTGTGGGCTTGAGGAGGAGTAAAGTTGTCCTCTGGAGATCTGTCCTTTTTGCCTCTCTATGTTCCTCATGTATATTTGCAAATAAGGCAAATATTGTAGGATTTTCTATTGCTCTATAATGGACACTAAACCTGGCAGTGCTGCGCCTGGAACAAGAATGCAAACATAATTTCTGAGCCCAGTGTGAACATAGCACTTATAGCACAGGCGACACCACCAGATACATAAAATGTAATGATGTGTCATTTTTAAAAATACATATTTCTGAAATGACACAAAAGGATCATATCGCAGCAAGGGACGTGAAACCCAGGCTACCCCCACCCCACCGCCCTGAATCCCCAGGTCCCCCGTGAGGAGTATCTATTCCTCACCCCTAAGAATTGGGGCCTTCCTGAATTCTCAGCTTGGGGAAGCTGGAAGAATGCAGCAGCCCATTAAAATTCTGTTTGGATTATTAGTAATAAAAATGTACAAAGAAGACAAGTTAACAATAAAAAATGGGTTGGGATCTGGAAATCATCAGACGGCTTCTGACGCAGAGCTGATTGCTAATTATGCTTGTCAGATTTAACTCCAGCCATTCCCTGAAAAGGCTTTCATCCTTTGAATCTGTGGAAACAAAGCATTCGATAAATTCAAGAGGGCTAGCAGTGTGAATGGGCCGGAGCCAAACTAACAGTGGAACCAAACTAACGTGTCTGGATCCTAGGTGTCTAGATCCTATGTGTCTGGATCCTGTGACCACGTTCTGCATGTGCTTCACTCCAGCTACAGTGCAGCTGGCTCCCTCTGCCACTGGTGCTTCCACTTGGGCAAGACCAATAGTGTTCAATGAGCCTTGTGCAAATGGAAGTACTGGCAGCAGGGAGAGTGAGCGGCGCTGCTAGTGGGAAAACATGCACAATACAGTCAGCGGATCTAAGCCAAAGAGTCTTAGCCTGCGGTCACACACAGGACATAATCCACCTCCAATCCACTTTCGGTGCACTTTGCGACTGGATTTTTTGTTGTGTGAACTGGCCAAATCCAGTTGGAAAGTGAAGGTGGATTACTTAGTGTGTGTGACCGCAGCCTTAGAGGGTAGCCGTGTCGGTCTGCTGTAGAATGATGATGATGATGATGATGATGATGATGATGATGATGATGATGATGATGATGATGATAATAATAATATACTTTATTGTCATTGTACATAGTACAATGAAATTAAAGATGCAATCATTTCGGAACAGCTAGATTTGAGTCCAGCAGCCCCTTAGAGACCAACAGTCAGGACTTGGCTCAAGCCAGAGTTTTGTGCCACTTTAAAGGTTAACCCGTTCACTGACGGCTCGAGCTTTTTGTGAATCTTGGGTTGCCAGCTCAGGGTTGGGAAATTTCTAGAGATTTTGAGGGTGGAGTTTGTAAAGGACGGGGCTTGGGGAGGGGAGGGACTTCAGCAGGGTACAGTGCCATAGAGTCCACCTTCCAAAGCTGCCATTTTCTCCAGGAGAACTGCTCTGTGTTACCTGGAGGCTACTTGTAATCCAAGAGATCTCCAGCCACTGGTTGGAAGTTAGCAGCCCTAATTGAGGCCGCGGTCACACGGACCTCTTACCGCACTAGTTTTTCTGCAGTTCTTCTGTCCGCAACATTTTATATCGCTTGGAGGTGGTCAGACGGTCCCTCTGTCTTCCGCTTCACTTGCGCGAAGTACTGATCACACAGCGCGCCGTCCCCGCGGCGGCGCGTGTTTAAAAAAAAACAATGTGCACATGCGCTTGTCTTCCCGAAACAAGCACCATCGGCGTTACCAAACTGTCAATACACATGATCGAAGACGTAAAGGAAAATGAGAAAGAAAACGGGGTTAAACATGTGCTTGGGCGTACATACAAACTAAAAAGACCAAAATAAAAGCTAGTGCCTGTTTGCACATGCGCATAACTTAAACCAGAAACACAAAAAAGGGGGGAGGGTAGCGCGGTCACGGCGGATTGCTGTCCAGATACCAAAACCGCGGATACAACGCGCGAGATATCGGAAAAACACCTGTTCCAACGGGTGTCAGAAAACGCGGATAAAAAGAGCGGAAACCGTGGGACTCAGCCCGCTTTGGTGCGGGAGGCGGGTTTGCCAATATAAACAGGAAACTTTAATGCGTGAGAGATCAGCAGCGAAGCCCGCACTAAATGTCCATGTGAACTGACCCAGAATCTGTGGTTGGCACCTCTGGGTTGGGAAAGGTTTGGGGGGTGGAGCCTGGGGAGGGCAGGGTTTAAGAAGGGTAGGGTCCTTAGTGGGATATAGTACCATAGAGTCCACACTCCTAAGCAGCCACTTTCTCTGGGAGAACTGAACTTGGTTGTCTGGAGATCAATTGTAATAGTGGAGGATCTCCAGGTGCCACCTGGAGGTTGGCAACCCTAACTGAATCAGCTACATGAACTGTAACTCTTACAAGGGCTGCTGTATACATTGTACATGTTTGGTCCATAGACATGGGCCCATTATGCACGCACAGCTTACTGCAGAGAATCCAAGCAGTCAAGCCGTTAAGCTTGACTTTGGATTCATGTCCCTGCTGTGCACACCATTCTTCTTTCTCCAGTGTATTTATTCTGCATTCTGTGTATTTATTCTGCAGCTGCAACCAAAAACCACAGTTTTCCTTAAGTGGGGTGGGAACGTCACTTGTGCTGTGTGGGGGGGGTGGCGTTCAAAGGTTTTTAAAACTGTTTTTAAGTTACGCAATTGCAGCTGCGCAGTGGCATCAAGTAAGCGCCTTCCATTTAAATTCTCCTGGTTCAGTTCCTTGAATGACAGGGAACACAAAGGAAAGCAGGCAAAGATAAAAACACATCCTGAATTTGACCAAACTATTTTTGAAACTGACTCAAGCAGCTGCTTTCTTATTGCAAAGCTGTAGTGGATTCTCCCTTGTGTTATCAGCCACTGTGAAGAATGGGAAAGCGTCACCACACCTCTCTCCCTCCCTCCTTTCTCAGCTTGCAAAGAGGCTTCTCAGATTGAAACCCTTCACATTGCAGCTGCGGCATAGAGAACTCACCCCAGGGTGCCATTTCTGGTGGCATCCATGTGGGGGTCAAACTGGCCATCCAACTGACTGGGGAAGTTCCATATCATGAGAGGGCTTGGCGTGATGCTCATATCCTACAATCGAAACCATTGAACATATGATTATGGAGTGCCCTGTGCTCGATGAGTAGAGGACTAATTTAGTCACCCCTTTACTTAAAGATCTGGAACCGCTAAATGTGCGAGCCCAGGTGTCATGGCTACTATCGGATACCAATGACCGTGTCACCCTCTCAGTGGCAAAATTCATAGGCGCAATAATCAAATATAAGAGAGATAATACTGAGTCAGATCTTTTAAAATATTTTCTTTGGTTATAATTTCTGCTTAAGGTGATAGCTGTATGAGCAGAGATAGATTGATGGATGATGGATGATAGATGGATGATAGATGGATGATAGATGGATAGATAGATGGATAGATAGATGGGTAGATAGATGGATAGATAGATGGGTAGATAGATGGATGGAGGGATGGAGGGATGGAGGGATGGATGGATAGATGGATAGATGGATAGATGGATAGATGGATAGATGGACAGATGGATAGATGGATAGATACAAAGTTCCCAAGGGGTGCAGCTCTGGAGGGCCATGGTAGGGCTGCCAGCCTCCAGGTAACACCTGGAGATCCCCCACGATTACTATTGATCTCCAGATGATGAAGATCAGTTCCCCTGGAGAAAATGGCTGCTTTGGAGGGTGGACTCTATGGCATTAAAACCAGCTGAGGACCCTCCCTTCCCCAATCCCTGTGCTCCCCAGGCTCTGCTCCCAAAATCTCCAGGTATTTTCCATCCCAGAGCTGGCAACCCTGGACCATGGGCAGCCAAGAGCAAGGAGAGCTGAGTGAGATGAAGGACTGGTGGATGGAGATTCTAACATTTCAGTAAATGGAAGGGACTCAGTGGCAGAGTGTTTGCTTTGGATGCAAAAGTTTCTGTCCCTTGCATCTCAAGTTAAAATATCTCAGACGAGGAGTAAGGCCCGCTGTGGGAATAAATACAACGAGCTCTAGAAAGAGGCTCTGAGTCAGTGCAATATGATCTGCAAGAGCTGGCGTTTCCAAGATGACTTCCAGAGCATACTCATGTAGAGTACATTATAATACCCTGAGGTTACTTTGACATGGATACATGTGGCCAGGTCAAGGTAGGAAGCCATTCTCCAGGCTAAGATGGAAGAAAACATTATTTGCAACAGAATTACCATGGTTGCTGTAGATTTTCTGGGTTGTGTGGCCGTGGTCTTGGCATTGTGGGACCTGACGTTTCGCCAGTAACTGTGACTGGAGATCAATTGTAATAGTGACACAGAGAGTACTCCATCTTTCTGTGTTATACCTCTGAGGATGCCAGTTACAGTTACTGGCGAAACGTCAGGTTCTACAATGCCAAGTCCACAGCCATACAACCCAGAAAATATACAGCAACTAAGGAACTTCGGCCGTTAAAGCTTTTGACAACATATAGAATTAACATGCTTCTCTAGCAATAATGCCGGGTACAGGATAACGCCAAGACTCCTTAGCTGTGTGAGCAGTAACAGTGGGGTACAGTGCTATAGAGTCCACCTTCCAAAGCATCCATTTTCTCCAAGGGAACTGTTCTCTGTTGTCTGAAGATGACCTGTAATTCCAGGGGATCCCTTTTGCCCCACCTGGAGGCTGGCATCCCTGAGTTTTGATGACCCAGCCAACAGAACCCCCCCCCCCTGGAGAAAATGGCTGCTTTGATGGGTTGACCCTCCCCTCTTTGCTCCACCGCCAAATCTCCAGTAATTTCCCAACCCAGAGTTGGCAACCCTAATTGACTGATCAGTTTGGATCAATGTTCCACAGACAGCTAGTGTTTACAGCCATTTTTTCAACTTAAATAAAATATTCTTGGTCTTAAACATGGCTAAAAGATTTACAATGTTTACGGAATGATAAAAATCTCTTTTTACTAAAAGCTCACATTGGATTCAGCGTCTCTTTGCTGTGGCATCATAGCATGACGACGATTATGCAGACGCTGAAGCTCAGCCTTCCTTTCATCTGCAGTGCGTTGTTGGTGCCTTTTCCTATCATTTCCCGCCTTGTGGTGTTTAGCGTTGGCGTGTGCTTGTGGGGAGCTCTGTCTTTTTTGGTGTGGCATGCTTTTATTATGGGCTACCGTAGAGTTTGTGCATCAAGATACCCGTTTTCTGTAGGGGAAAACGATGTGCTGTGGCTGGGGGACATGGGTCGAATCTGCATTTGCATTTTTAAATCAGTTTCCTGCTGCTGTGACACAGTCTTTTTCTATGCTTGTTTGAATGTTGTTTGGAGAAGATTCTTTTAAAGCAGTGCAGAGGTGCAATGACAGTGGAGCCGCCCTGAAAGGGCGATAAACATATGTGGGCATGCAAAAGTATGCTAGCACTGTTGAGGTGTGAAAATGACACCAAATGTAGACAGCTTTTTTGAAGACGGAGTCAAAAGGCTGGGACACCGGTGGGAAAGACAAATGCAGATTTGGCCATGGTGATTTCCCGGAGATCCCTAGGCCCCACAGGGAGATTGGCAACCCCAGTGAATGTTTAGGGGAAGATTGGGAGATGTATTTTACCTCAGGACACATTCAGTGACTCCCAACAGCAACAGCAAACTGTTTAGAGTGTTGGAGGCGAGGGTCAATCAGGCCACATATGCAAACGACCTCTGTGTTCCAACTGGCTATTGGGGGGGGGGGGATGACTTGCAGAATGGAGCAAGGCCCAATCGGCCCACATATGCAAATGACCTTGAAAGGCTGGCCCAATCAGGTGAGTCATCAGGAACATGGCTAGCCTTTTATATATAGAGAGAGGTAAGAGATATCGTGACAGACCTTTCTCTTCCTGAGACCCCAGACAGCTACTACCAGTCAGAATGAACCATACTGAGCTGGATTGACCAACGATTCAGCTTCTTATAAGGCAGCTTCTATGGCTGTGGTCACATGGCAAGCTTATCCCGATTTGTTCCCGCAATAGATTTGATCGGGAATATCTTTTTCTCATTGGGATGTTCACACATCCCTCCCCCAACCGCTTGCATCGCACGATGAGGCTCTGGGCACCGTCCAGATAGCTGCGCTGCCCAAGTGGGGGTGGTGGAGAGCAGGGTGCTCTGTGCAGGCTCAGAAACACTCTCACCCTAGGCTCACAGCTGAAAGCAAGCCTTGAGGGAGCAGCACGGCCACCCAGGACCTCCCCCCACCTCTACTGCCCCCCCCCCCGGGCTGCTTCTGGTATTGCAATCCCGGCTGGGTCTGGGAAGCATGGGGCTGAGTCTTGTGGGCAACCAGTGGCCACCTGGACGTGGGAGCCTTTGAGGAAGGGGGGGAGAGTCAGCTCAGGATCAGTGTTCCCTCTAAGCTGAGTTAGTGTGCGCTAGCTCACAGTTTTTTACCCTCCGGCTCACAGAGTTTTGTCTTCGCTCAGGAAGGATGGCTCCAGAGCCAGCTAACTGATGCAGCAGCCAAATCGCTCACTCACAACTTTAATGCCAGTACCTCACAAAGTAGACTTTTTGCTCACGAGACTCCAAAGCTTAGAGGGAGCGTTGCTCAGGACCTCCAGGTGAGGCTCCTCTCCCTGCTGCCAAGTCCTCCGGCCTGGCTTCTCATCTCCCTAGTGTCATGCCTGCCACTGATGAAGCACCTGACAGCCAGGAGCACGTGGAGTTGGCACCACAAGCCCCTGAGGAACATCCAGAAGCAGAGACACCTGCGCCGGATCAGGCTCTGCTTACCACAGACAATTCACCCCCCGACTTGCCGCCACCTGTGAACCGGCTCAGGAGTCAGCGAAGACAGGAGCTGAACGAAAGAAGGAAAGCCGCACACATGCGTGGCAGACGCTCGTTCAGCCCTGAGTATTAGCAGCAGCATGACCTTGCTCAGCAAAAGTTAACAAGATAATTAGCCAACACGCTATATCAGCAAACCTGCTGCTGGCAGAAAGTTGTGCTGGCAACTTCGATTGACAGGACCAGACGCTCCGTGCATTCCTGCTTCAGACTCCTTGAAACCCTTGTCGGTTTGATCCTCGGCTTTTGACCTTCGGCTCCTTGATACTCGGCATTGTTGACCCTGCTTTCTTCTCTGCATTTCTCTGGCTTCGTTTTGATTTATGGACCTTGACTTCTGGTATGTCTGACGCTGGCTTTGGAAATTAATTTGGACTTGTTTGAACTGTGCTGCTTGACCTGCTCGGCTGAAACTCGGACTGGCTTTGGACTTTGCTTGTTTGCCCCACGCTCCCTGGCCCTGCCGTGACACCTTGCTGTTGGGATGACACATGGCTTCCCGGGCTGCCCTCCCTCCCTCGCCTGGGTCCAGCAGAGGAACTTGGGCTGCCGACATTATTTACGTGTGGTCCTACACAGCCCAGCCAGCGGCAGGTTTTAATCACCAGCCCCAGAGAGAGCAGGAGAGGGACTCTCCTCCCCATCCCCAGCCCCCTTTAATGGGGCAGCAGCAGGTTCCCCCCCCCCCCCCCCCCCCCCAACCCAACGGCTGTGAGGGGTTTTA